CAGATCCACACATGAGGACGTTAGTTTTCAATTTTGATAGAATATGAATCATTCAAGCACAACGGGTCAAGTAACTTAAGGGGCTAAACCAGTGCTGTGTCTACACATAACAGATAATTAGCAAACAACCGATTTTAATTGTATTTTTAGGCACTTTGTTAATAACAGCATGTCACAAAACTGCTTAACTTGTTCCCATTTCTTTAGTTGAATCTACACTTACATCTACAAATGTAAAGTATTTTTGTAGCCACGAGGTGGTTCCCAAAGAGCTACTAAAACTTGGCATGTCTTGACATGGTGTGCAGTGTTTCCCTAAAAAAAATTGAGGAAAATGGGAGAATGGAAAACAAGAAGTGTCAGTCCTAAAAAACTATCGACAGCAGATGAACATTATCTAAAGGTCATGTCCTTAAGAAACAAAAAAATCCAGCAAACATCCGACACGGACCCAAAACATTTTTTTGACCCTTCAGTTGGTCCATCTACTGTTCACTGAAGTCTCCTCAGAAATGGTCTCAGTCGAATGACAGCTGTAAAGAAGCCATTTGTAAGGAAGAGAAACTGGGTCAAAGCCCAGGGTACACTAAGTTACACAAAAACTGAAAATGTTTTCATATTGTTTCATCTTTGGCGGCATTTACGTACAACTAGCAACATGGCACACCTTTCACTGTGGGCAATCTTGTCCATCTTGCTTAGCGATCTGAGAGACTAAAGCCCATTAGGGAGGTAGCAGAGTTGAATGGGCAGAAGGATGGCAAACAGCAGCATTGTCCAGTTGACATTTACCCACAGAAGAGGAGAAAACAGACTCCCCTCTCAGGTTTTGACCTTGATACTCATTCACATTAAGCCAACCATGCCACATCGGAGAGGTGTGCCACCAGGTCATTAGCTTAGGCACTGTTGGCATGAATCTGCAGCCAGCCACATAAAAGAGCACGATTGTGCAACCTCTGCCTTTAGGAGCTCTTCCTGACATGGCTTAGCCAAAAAAAAAAGTTTAAGTTGAGAAAAGGCTGTTAAAGCCAGGAAGCAAAACACTGTCCACTGCCCTTTTGAACACACAATGGAAGGCACAGTGCTTGTCCAGCAGGCTTGTGGAAGCTGTGAGAGTGGCGTACTGATCAGGTTGTAACGATAGCTCACAAAGGGGCCAATTGTTAGCAGCCACTGAGGTGATTATATCTCCTCAGTCAGAGAGATGGACTTTGCCTGTTAATTCCAGTGTGTGCTAATTCAGGCCAGCGTTTGGGCTGACCGCTCAAAGCTGCCTCCAACATGCACACGCATTTACCACTAAGAGGCACTCTGCCTGCTTTTGGGCCCGCATGCCTAGCACCTGTCATTTCAAGAAACTGGGAGGGCATTTAACCCACTGGTGAGCTATCAAATATCCTGTCTGTTGATCAAACTACTGAGCATTGCATACAGCAAACATCACAATACTTTGCATTGTTTTATTTTGTATTAATCTCTAAATGTGGAAAAATAAAATGTTAGAGCATCAGTGTGTCAGCTGCGAGCCCCACTCCAAAAAATGTAAAGCTATTACTCATTAAGACTCAGTCACAAGGCTGAAGAACTGCTTCATGCTTGTGATTAACAGTAGAATAGCTGCTGCTTACCTATTCTGAAGTATTGATTGTTCTTCAGTCACTAGATCTGGACTTGCTGGAGACAGCATGGGGATCAAATATACATATATGTAGCTAATGATGGTCATTAACCTCCAAACACCTGCAAGCAGGACCCTGTTGCTGCCCTGCTTTAAGCTGCTGCACAATGGGTCATATTGTTCTTCAGGGAATGTGATGAGAACGAGACAGGCGGCAAACGGAGAGCTACATATGGGAAATACTATCTCTGTGAGAGGAGCTTCAAAGAATGGGAATTGCTGAACCAGAACCCCAATCAAAATGTGGCTTGAATTACAAATCCAAATTTTCTTTTAAAACATTTTTCTTTTTAATTTTCATAATTTAACCTGTGGTCATTTGTTTTGCTTGTTTAAAGTTAGAAATGTTATTCTCTTTCTTTCTTTAGAAAACTGAGGTCTGGGAGGCAGAGAAGACTGTGGCAGACATGGAGGACTACAGTTGGGAGGACAGCCCGTCTCAGAAGAATATCTTGGATGTACTCCTACGTATGAAAGTGGCAGGAGAGGGAGACGGTGAAGAAGTGCGACAGCAGCTGCTGGGAAGGAAAGACGTTCAAGACTATAAAGACTCGGTCACACGGCTGAAGAACGAAGGGGAGAGCGAGAGCAGCATGCTGCAGTACAAAGAGGCAGTCAAGAAAGTATTCAATATGTAATGTCAGCGAACAAGAGCAACAAGAAGAAACATTTTTACATACTTGGAATTGTCCCTGTACATAATGCATCAGGATATTTTAACATCATGGGTCTGAATGTGTTAGTTGTATATATTTTCACAAATATTCACTGGCATGTGAGGAGGTCATTAATACAAAGATGTATGCGGAGTGTTTCATGACGAGGCGATGCTTTAACGCAATAAAAACATACTGTAAGAGTTACTGCTCTAACGTCTATCCCTTTCCCGCACTGTGAATTCAGAGAACAGCACCCCATGAATGCACGCTTTCACCAGCAAGCTGTTGAAAGGTACTTTTAGTTTCATCTGTGCACTTTTAGGTCAGGGGCAGTCTGGTGTGCTTAGGTGTAATGAATTAAAGGTTAAACACTAAAAGCCACAGATCCAAAAGCAATCTGTCATCAATCCCACTAAAGACGACTAATTGATGACGTAAACAATCCTTGAATCGTAGTCATTAATTGCTTAAAAGTGCCCATTAAGTTCCACCTACTACTGGTGTAGATAAGTGGCCAATGTTTTGAGGTTTGGCATCAATTACATTTAAAGTGACTGAAGAACATCAAAATGTAGGCCAGCCAAAAGGACACTATATCGAATTTCTTAAAGAAAATGGCTGTAGGCAGCTCTTGTGTTCATTCATTGCATCAGAATGAAACCAGAACCATTGCAGCTATGTTTTTGGTTGTTTCACCTAAACCTTAATGTCACAAATTTGCTCAAAGGAGAGTCCACACAAGAGGTTTTCTTAAATAGAAGATAATTTATTCAACACAATCTAACCAACAGACAAACATTACAAATGGGTTGAATCCAAGTGGAGTCTAAGAGAGACTAAACAGTTCATCTATAGCCTGAAAGGCACAAGGGATCTGCACTAGCTGACGATCCTCCCATGTCAGGCAATTGATAACAGGCCAGGAGTTCCTTCAGACATTGAGATGGTGTCACCCCCCACACCATCTTAAAATCAAGGTTCCACCTAAAAACTAAAACTTAACCTGAAAAATTATAAATCAAGGTAACAGAAAATATAAAAAATATACCCAGTCATTAAAGTGGCTGCCACAAACTACATGTACTCGCTGCCAGCTCCACCCATCTTACCAGCCCAGGTTTTCCCTTGTCAGAGCAAATGAAGGGCAACAGGAAACTACCAGTAAAGAAGGTATTATAGAGTAAGGTGCTTAAAACAGTTTGTTTAAAAAAATCAAACTGGCATAGAGAAAAGCGCAACAAGTTTCCTCCCTTAAATATCAGTTTTAATCTTGCAAGAAAACTGGTTAATTTCAACAGCAAATCAAAGCGTTGCTCCCTGAATGAACACCAGAGTTCCTCACAATGGTCCCAGCACCATATGGCCTGCCTGCAGCTACAAACAAACATCACACTGCTTTGCAAATATTCCAAACAAACCTGGAATTAAAGTTTGAGTATGAGCCAAAGTATCATACAACAAGGTTCCTCCAAAGCAAGGCTATCGAACCAATCAAGATGTCTAAAACGTTAACAAAGAGGGAACTGAACTACTGATTGCAGTTCTTACCCATCATACATTTACCAGTACCAGTTGTGTACATTTACTGCACACAATTGTACCACAAATATCTTTGAGAATTCCAAACACATTTGTAAGGCTTGCAGGAGAGCAGGGAGGACTACTCATAAGAAGTTCAATAATGATAAACTAACCACAGAGTGCAGGCTATCTAGTCCTATTTATTGAGTACAAGCTAATCTTAATCTCAGTCTTTAGACATATACTTGTTAGTGCTTGCACACCAGTTCCACTGGCACCAACGAGCCAGAAACTTTGTAGTTTTTGGAAAGAAAACAGAAATGCTCCAAAGACAATTTCTTCAACCACATTCTCCACCACACTATTCAATTCATGGTATTTTTTTTATTTATATAGTGCCAAATCACAACAACAGGTGCCTCAAGGCCAAAAAAAACTTGGTTGGTCTCCTAATAAGCCAGTTTAATCTGATGGGATACATGGCTCTTACACATGTGGTTAGACTCACTCAAAAAGATAAAAACATTTGGTTTGAAGACCAATTAAAAAAATAGGGATTAATCCTGCTCTCTTCCAGCATCGCCTAAAAAATAACTCAAAATTAATTAATGTATGTAATTAATTAATCTAATTCATGTGTGGAAGTCCCTAAAACTTTGGTCACAGTGTTAAATCTCCAAACTAGGCTAAGCATTTATCAAACCATAAGCTAAAGTTAGCCATCAACACTGAATATACTTTAATCTTACCAACAGGTTTCAATATCCTGGACAAGCCCCCATTTATGACAAATTGGCACAAATTAGGTGATAAGGAGCAAGTCCACACAAAAGGTTTACAGAAATAAAAAATAATTTAATTAACATAACCTAACCAACAGATAAACATCACAAATAGGTTGAGACCTGTCAGAGTGGCAGAAAGAGACTAAGCAGTTTATCTGGGCCAGCTTTTATAGAACTGGAAAACACAGGTGAGCTGCCTTAGCTGTCCATCCCCATCTAGTTACAATAAAACAAAATACTTTAACCTAAAATAATCCTTTATGTAATCATATACATTCTAAGTAAATTGTCCTTTCATTTTGGATTTCTTCCTCAACAATGTTATAAAATATCCTCACTTTCAGGAGCTCTCCTTGACCAGCACGTATTTTATCAGACGCATGGAGCCTCGTTTCCCTCTCCATGATGTACTGTAGCGTCCCGTCCTCTTTCTTTGACCCCTCCAGCTCACCACCAGCAGGATAGAGCAACAGCAGCTCAGCAGCACTGTGATACAAATGGCCACAGCAACCAGCAAGGTGTCAGCAGCCACATACCACCCATGTCCGAGGCCTGGTTGGGTGTCATCTCCACTGGCTCCCACGTTGCTTACTGTGTGGTTCCTCCCATGGTTGCCCTTGGTCTCATTTAGATACAGCTTGCTGCTTTCTGTGTAGCTTATAAGAGCTGCAGAAGTTGGAGGGCTGCTGGTAAACTGAGAGAAAGTGGCGGTGGGATGACGGGTAGGGGTGGATACTGGGGATTGTGGACTTGAGGTAGAAAAAGCAGACAGAATCTTGGAATTGTAATGGCCCAGAGTGCTAACTGTGGTGAATGAAGGAGGAGTAATGCTATCTGGAAGAGAAGTGGTGGAGACAACTGCGGCTGTTGTTTGTGCATACTTTTTTGAAGATGGGGGAGTTTTTTCAGTGGAAGGCACAGCAGTCGTAGTCGTGGAAACTGCTAAAGGCTGACCGGTGCTCTGCAGTGCTGTGGTGGCAATGACAGAGGCCTCTGTGGTGGCATGAACTCTACCTGCTGTAGTGGAGGGTTTAACGGGCGGAGGTGGATGAATAAATTGGCGCTTGTCTGACAGCAATGGCTCTGAGGCGTTATTGCGGCTGTAGTGGTGGGGTAACACACGCACGTTAGAGGTGAAGTATTTTCCAAACACCAACAGATCAGGATCCACACCTAGAATACGAAAAAATGTGCTTGTTTGTTTGCTTTTCATGTTTTTGCTGGTGTTTTTATCTAAACGTTTAATAGGGAGTGATTTTTTTTTTGTTATTCCAAAATAAGTGACAACTACAAATGCTATGCATCTTTTGCAAGAAAAGCAAAGCTGGAAGCAAAACGATTTTCAGATAATTTACTTCACTGAAGTTGGGAATCTCCGATGCAACATGCTAAAATCAGAAGAAGAAATATTACAAATATTTGATTCTCAGTCGTATATATTTGCTTTGCCGTTGGTGGGGATCGTTTTAACTACTATTGGTCACTTGGATACATATTTTATTGACTGATCAATCATATTTTTTACATAGTACTATGCAAAATTTTCAAGTCACAACTCACGTCTTTACATTTTGTTTAAAGTAAGTGAAGTAGGTGCAACAGTTTACCTAAATATGTAAACCTGCATGGAAATACAGTATACAAGGTAAAAACAGTGGTTGTACAAGTCTAAGAAAAGTCAGTATTTGATATAATGACTTTTATTCTCCATCACAGCCTGAACTCTCTGAGTGAGCTTTCTTTAAGCAGTCTTCAGCAATAGTTCTCCAGACTTCTTGAAGGACATTCAAAGCTCTTCTTTGGCTTCTTCGTTGGCTGCCTTTAGTTCTGTTCTTTGTCAAGATGATCCCACCCTGCTTCAGTGACATTAAGGTTGGGGGCTCTGGAGAAAGCCAATGCATGACTAAAAGTGTTCCACTGTACACTTTATTGTCCAGGTATGCATCGACTGCATTAGGCAGTGAGTTTGGGATCATTTTCATGCAAAAAAAATTAAATCATTGCCAATTAGATACTTTCCAGATGGCATTGCATGATGGATCAAAAATCTGACTGTACTTTTTTATTCACACCCCAAATCATGACCATGTTTTGTTGTAGACACCCACTGCTGTACCTCTCTCCAGGGGCATAATTTCCAGGGGGGTTATGACCCCCTCAATAATCAGACCCAACCAATATAACCCCCCCAATAAAATTCTGAATTATCTTGCATAAATAGGCTGTTGATTTTCTTTATTACCAGCAAAATAGTCGCATGTTTAATCATCTGGGAATTTACCCAGATTTATTTATTTATTTAGACAGAGATCTTGACCCCCCCCCAATGTTCAGCACAAAGTTACACCGATGCCTCTCTCCTGACCTCCTCTGTAAATACTGATGATAACTTGAACATCGAACATGTTATGTGTTTTTGCCAGAGGCTGATATTAACAAGGTGCTAAAGATACAATTTAAAATTGGGTTTTTGTTTTGGGTTTTTTTTGCAAAGATGCCACTGGTTCATTTATTTTTTTTATACTTGAATGTTAAGAGCCTTAACACAAACAAAGTTATATGAAAATGGTCAGGAACAAATGAGTGAAAAGCAGCCACTGTCCAAAGAAAAAAAATTGAAAGGGCTTCAGAAAGCCTGGAGAACTATTGCTCAAGACCACTTGACTTCCAAATTCCAAGGAAGTCTGACTCATTGGAAGCAAAATACACAAAATCAGGGGTGACTCAAGACTTTTACACAGTACTGTATGCAGAATTTGAACCATCTATAGTTATAGACATTTACTGTAAGATACAGTATTTTGAAATTGTTATTTTGCAGTACCGTATTTCAAAATTTACATCTAATCCCTAAGAATCTAACAGGATCTAAAAGGATTTGATATGCACAGTATTCATATCATTAAAAGAACAGAAGTCCACCTCTACCAGACACTAAAGCGACCTACCCTTTGTGATATTGTAGAGAACAACGTTGTCTCTGTGACTCAGAATGCAGCTCTCCAGAGTCGGACAGTGGAGGTGAAAGCAGTTCAAGATTTCTTGAGTGGTATCATAGTGGAATATAGCCAGATTACAGGAAACTATGAGAAAAGACAGAAAGAGGATTAATCAGGAGTAAAAGAAGGGAAAACCAGTGATGATCGTATAACTCACAGTTTCTGGTAAGGCAACAGGTGCGGCTGCATTTCAGCGCGGTCTCTTCTTGATAATGCTTCAAAAGCTGCGCTCCTCTCCTCTGAGACTCCTCAATATCGATGAAAATCCCCGGGAACCGTCTAATCCAGCAGTTCTTATAATAGGAGGTCGGTGAGCACCTCGACTCAACGCGACACACCAGACTGAAAACCGCCAGCAAACCCCATGCGGCGTTCATTGCGCATATTGTAAATCACACCATGTTAGATTGCAATCAAGACAAAGCCTCGACATATTTGGGAGCTGATTACTTGGAGTTGACAGGCATGAAATGGGGCCAGTGCTTTGGTTTTACTGGTGCCAGCTGTGTCACAACTACGCACCTACAGGAGGTGGAGACCCAGCCGTGCGTAAGGTGTCCAGGGCTGTGCCACGTGTGAGCGCACTAGGCTGCTTGACCAACAGAATGGGATCAACTTACTTTACAAATAAAATCAACAAATGTTGATGTTCAAATGTTCAAATTATGTGAATTTACACTGTGGCCATAAATACGTTTCATAATCTGCAGTGTTATCAAAGAAAAGGCCACAAGGCCCTCTGTGATGTGTTTTCTGTTTAGTCATATATCTGAGTGCATTTCCATAATTGTCGCAATCTGGTTTAACCCAGAAGAACCCACGCCCCTTTACGCATTGAGAAAAGTTCCTGTTAACGTTTCAACATTGACTTTCCCATAGTTTTTCTGACTGGTCTGGGCTCTTACGGGTTAGGTCAGTCAAATGACATTACCAGAATAATGGCACCAAAAGACATATCTGTATTATCTGTTACCCCCTTTAAAATGTACGTACTTTATATTTTACCACAAAGTATGCCAGTATTTATTTATTTGTGTATTTATTTTTTAAATATGCACTCTCTGTAGCATTAATGCAGCTCTAACAAATACCACAGCATAAATAATAAATAATAAAATAATAAAAAGAAGGTTTGGTTTAACCCCATTGAACTGTACTTTGTCTTTCGCACTATGATTGCTGGGACAGGCTCCAGCTCCCTGTTACCATGGACTGGATAAGAAGTTGTAAGTACGGCTCTCCAGGAAACACAACAGAGTTCACATATTAATAAAGTCACATGAGCATCGGAGTATGATGTGTAAGGTTTCTTACAATACAAAATATGGCGCCTTGAAATACTACATTTGTGATTTGGTTCTACACTAACGCCGATTTGAACCTATCAAGTTAAATCGAACTAACAAAGTGTAATGTTGCCACAGCACCACTAGATGGCAATCGTCACTACTGTTAACAATATCTGTGTGTCTACTACATTAAAAAAGTGTATTCTCTGCGCTTGCTGTAGTAGTTCTTTTTTAAAATATAAAATATCGGATGCATACGTGGATGTGATTAAAACTGTGCGCATGTAGTGACACTGCCCCCCCCCAAAAAACCCACTAAGAGAAAGTAAAATGTTACACATTTATGTTAATAACTAATTCATGATTTTGGTCAGCTATTTAGCAAAAATAGCTGAAATTATTTTTGACTTTAGCCTCTTAAATGTGATCATTTGCTTACACAATCCTCTCTACATTGACAATCAGAGAAAATTAACAACCAACAGGTTAATCAGTCATTTTAATCTGCACCCTCAAAATACTTACTTTTTGGTTTCCGGGGCCTCACTGGAGGTAACGCATTGCCATCTGCAATTAGTTTTGACTGTATTCAGCATGAGGCTGTTCATCCACTATAGAACAGTATGGTGCTCATCAACAACACCTTCCAAAAGTAAACTGATTTACTATGCACACTTCACTTTAAACTTTCAATATATTTATTTTATCACCTTTCCAGTGTGCACACAACATACTGGGAAATCTGTAAAAAGCTGTCAAAGGAAAGTTTCTCTGACAGCTCTGTCAAATCCTGCACATTTTACAATTCTCCTAAACACGTTTATGCAGCGCGTAGCAGTTAGTGGAAATACTACAAAACCAGCGAGGGCTTATGTAAGAAACACTTGTATTTTCATGTGACACCTCAGGGCAAGTTACAGATGCAGACAACTTCGATAATCGGCTTGCAAGTCCAAATCTGGTTCAAGTTAGCAGTGTTATTATGTGCCTTTTGTTGCTGTCAGACAGTTTTCAATCAAAAAACAGTAAGACAAGAAACATTCAACATTCAACATCAAACAAAGTGAATACAAGTTCTTTTAAATCGTTTTAGCCACCTGTCAACGTAACTCTGTTAAGAGAAGGTTGTGGCACTGTACATAATCGCTCCAGTAACACAAAACATTGGCACAAAAAAACAGTGATTTTTTTTCTTTCGGATGTGCAAATAAGGGATTCTCAGTATACTTTTATTATTTTTCCCATTTTTATATATATTTATATTTAAGTCACTAGATGGCACCCTGAGGCAGCCAGACTTCTCTGTCACAAACATCCCCTGCACATGCATGTGTGTAAAAGAATCTAAATTAAAAACAAGCGCTAGTAAAAATGAGATGGAAAAAAACACCACCAATTACAACTCTCTCATGCAGGTCTTCTTAGCTATGTTTGGCTCCTTTGGCATAGAAACCACAGTGTACACAGTGGTCCTCCTCTTCACACACAGCCAGTTTCAACTTCCACAGTCCCAAATCTAACTCTTGTTCAGCAGTAGTTGTGTTCCTGCACAAACCGTCACAGCCTGTGCTTCTCCAGGCTCCCGACCGCCTCGTATGATTTCATCTTGTAGAGGAAGTAGTCTATTGTTTAGTGTTGTTGCTCACCGGTGTGCTACAATGGGTCTAGAACTGGTAAGTTCAGAGTGAGAGGCCGTGTCAGTCTTTGACTAGCCTGTAAATATGATGCTGCGCGCCGTGCTCGCTAGTGGACACCTCGAAGACGTAGGCTATGCACAGCAGGGTCTCCAGTGTGTCCCTGTTAGTCACCACCTGTAGACAAACACAAACTGGTGTCATATTGTGAAGCTTCGTTTGTCGTGTTTTTACTTACAATGTAAATTTACCCATAGTTTGGACAACACCGATTTTTATAGCTTATTATTATTATTTTTTTGTGGTTCTGGCAGAGCCGTGGCTTTCTGCTACATCACTAATGAAGTGAGCCTGCCAGCTAGTTTAGGCAGGCAACTCGAGCTCCACTGCGTCATACCCACGTAACATGCCTCCCTCTTCTCACGCCGATACCGAATACACCCTCCCAATTTGGCAGTTGATTTAAGCAGTAAAGTTTCCCGATGCTCACTTGGACATCACATTGCCACCAGTTCCCTTCATCAGTGCTCGCCGATTCAACCTCTCCACCAGCCCAGCATCCACCTTTAGGCTGTGGGGATGGTGGATAGGGCGTATTTACTTATCGCTTCCCAGTTTTAAATGTAGCACATTCATGTGGAGTGATGAGCTTAGAGCCTAGACACCTAACCCTAACTAGTCTCCCTGGCCGGTTCATTAGTTAAATACACTGACTAATTGCTGACACATACACACTAATAATGAGTAACTAGACACACAATCCCTTGGCTGAAATGGTGCTATTCTATACATAAGGCTGATATGTATCTAAAGTACTGCTTGGCATTCGTGGAAAGGCAACATGCATAACATGACAGGAAAAAAAAAACTCCTTGTGTTTAACAACGTTGCACTGAAAGCAACTTTTGTCACATCATTGTGCTCAACCCTGCAGTATTGTCTGTGTGTATTGTCATCTATATGTATGTGAACATCTGTGTATGAGACGTTTGTGGTTCATATGAGCTAAATAACCCCATTGAGAAGCCTAATGACATGCTGCCATGTAGTCATCAGTGTGGGCTCAATATGGTCATTGTGCCTTTGCTAGGAGTGTAGGAATGGAGCCTCCAATAGAAGAAACACATTTTTAAAAACCCTGTCTTTTAGGCCCCTCTGGTTACTATGACAATACACCCCACTATCCACTAAGGAGCACACCAGCTCATTCAGAAAAGTCCAACTAGAAGGCATAAAATTAAAATGGTTCCAGCTGTTTCTGGTCTGTCATGGTTAACCGATTGAAATACCACAGCAGTACTTAGCTGAAGACCACGGATTTCCTGTTTCACACCCGTTACAAAGCAGGGTGAAGTCTACAAAAAGAACTCTAAATTAGAAAATAAGACCATGACTGAATAAAAACTAACGCAGGAGGACAAAAACTATGATGACAAGTATTAACACGCTTGTCAACAAATAATAAGATGAAAATATTCTGGAGAGATGAGATCCAACTAATTAAGTTGTGTAGAAAGGTGGGACGAATTTGGAAGTTATCCAATCAGAACTAATCTCCTATGGTTAGACATGCACATTTTATCTGCCCCCAGTAACAGTACACCTCTTTATTTATTTATTTATTTTGGTTGGGGGGGGGTTGGTTGTTTCTCATGAAAACATGACAAAATGTCAATGCTTGGGAGAAAGATAAGAATAGACACAGTTTGCATTTGATATTGAAAATAAGACCCTTAAAAGAAGACTGACTGTGTGGACCAAAACTTTTACACTTCATACTTTAGTCAGCTGGATAATCGCTTGATTTGATTTATTCAACTAAAACTAGACTAAAAAGAATTTAGATGCCTAAATTACGACTCAAACAAAACCAAAATTTGCTGTTATACTCAGCACTGCTAGTAAATGTACACTCTGTATAAAATTTGCAATCTGCTTATTTTCTGTTGTTGCATATTTGTAATTAGTTAGCAAGTGAATCCAGGGTGAAGTAGTGTGGAAATATATGATTTTATGAAAACAAGTGATTATAGTTTTGTATTCTCCATTAGTATTTACTAGCTGGCTAAACTGTTCATTTTTAGTCTAGTTTCTGAGTTGTGATGTGAAATACTTCGACCCCACTCTGCTGCTCATAATTTGAGTCCAAACTATATGATATCAGTGCAGCTTAAGAGAAGAAGCTTATTTCTCGTCATTAACAGCCTGGGGAAAGGTAAGCTGTAGTTTTATACGTATTACACAGATTTGAAAGTTGGTACCTGTAAGATAGTAAAGTTTTCCAGCACGCTGTTCATCATGTACTTCTCCGGCAGGTGTTTAAGCTTGTGGATAAAGTTGATCATGTATTCGCACAACGGAGAGCGGTGGATCCGAAACACATAGCGTCCATTTTCGAAACGCGCGTACTCCGTCTAGGGGAACAGACACATACGAGTGAAGTTTAATATCTGCAAACATATATCACACTGAAAGAGAATTTAAAAATGTATGGATGAAATGTGAAATCTGTTGCGAAAAAACACAGGGATACATAGCCCACTGAAACTCAAATGGATGCATTGGATATAAACGTCTAGGTCTACTGTATGTGATAAGCAGTATTGTTTGTAATATAATATACCTAATGCGGCATGTGGCATGCCAGATATGACAATAAACATATTTCTTGTGACAACCGTAATCAAATAATGAAGCCATTAAATATCATCATGTGGCCGATTGAGGCAGATGGCTCTACCTAGGGATATGTGTGTATGTGCTTATATTGTACAATCCATCAGCAGCGAGTGGGGGCGGGGCAGCTATTGTGTACGGTTAACGGGAAACATAACAGTTATTCATGTTGGGGAAACTTGTGAATCGCGTCAGTTTACAGACCACAGATCAGCGGTAACTGACTGGAATCTGCGGTGGGGGTTATTCACTCCTCAGTGTGATAATTGTGGCTTTTGATGTGGTCATGACCTCTTTATGTCGTAACATCACTCCTCCATCATTCAATCGGTGACGCAAACTTCCTGAATTGGAGTCAAATATATATACGTTACTGCCGATAAATGGGAAAAGTGGAAGGTGTCAGTTTTGTAAAACAGCTGAACTAAAAAAATGATATTTACAGGAAAAAAATGGCTGACTAATAAATGTTGCTTAAAAATTAAGCAATTAAACATTATAAGTGGTCACATTTTTTAATGTATTAATTTAATATTAATATCTCACCAACAAAAGATTTAATCACTGACGACTAAAAATATTCCTCCAGCTGAATCTAGTTTTGGATGAAATTCACATCTTCTCAATAGAACATTTTTAATAGCGATTAAAATCTTTCAAACATAACTATCTTATTTAACAAAAAAGCTGCAAATTTAAATTTTGAGATATCCCAGTCTGTTGCTGGGTACATTTCCAGAGTGACAACAGCTAGAATTACAGGTTATATGACGTTTATTGGTCCGACAAGAGTTTTTTTTCATAAACAATTCTCATAAAAGGAACAGCTATAAAATCATAAAATGTCATTTCTGCTCATGTCATAAATATTTCAAAGGGCCTCTTTAATAAACTCTGAAGACGGCATTGCTCCGAGCCAAGAAGTTAGCCACATCTGTTAGATAACATCTCAACTGGGATCCCAAACAAATAAGAGGAAACCTGACTCTTTGCCCAGTGGGCACATTTGGATGAATAGGCTGGAAAAAGTAAGAAAAACAAATTGTGCCGAAAAAATATGCAAAATAGTGCAAAAATTCCATTAACATGGCAGCATAAGTGTACATACTCTAATAAAAGATGACATAACAAATGACACTTGACACCTTCCAGTATCGCATCCTTACCTCGACTTTCTCCACCACCTGTTTGCCAAAGGAACAGACTTTGGTGGATGAGGTGATAATCATGTTCTCAGAGCTCTCGTACTGGCTGGACACACCATAAAAGAAGCTGCTGTCATCCTGCAGGTTTACACTAAGGTCCGCCTGGAAGGAAGAAAGAGATAATGTGTTAATATATACTTGGCCAAAGGGAACCATGGTGATTAAAACAGCTTGGTGGTGTATAAAGACCTACAAACCTCAGCCCCTTTAAATGGAGATGTGTGCACTACCCATGCACCACACTGCGCATTCACATACTTGAGGATAAACAGTTCATACAGCTCTGTAATCTACAAATTTCCACACCTATGGATCTCTGCGTCAAAGGTGCTCCGGCTCAACAAAGCTTGAGAGGTAACCTTGGTAAGCCAAGAAGTGCTTACAGGACAGATCCTCATTTACCCAAGTCGAATCCAGCCTAAAGATTGCCAAGATGTACCGCCCAGCTCCCTGTCATCTCTTCATCACCCCGTTCATCTTCATGGCTCATATAATTCCTCTACCTCACTGTATGTATAAGCGTGCAAGATGATTTTGCATTCCAGTGGCATTGTGTTCACTCTACTTACAAGAAGCGCCCATTGGATTTATCTTGGACTTGTAGTGTTTCTAATCAAAAATCACAAAATCTATATAACATGTAGCAGCCCAAGGCAAGACGATAAGTTGCTTAGATTGTGAAAAAGAAACTATTTTGACATCTGTCATAAGCAAGAACCAAAAGTGCTGGAATGCTGAACCGTTTCTATGAGAAGGATATGGCCTCACAAGTTCAAAGGCAGCTTAGATTCAACTTTCTTTATTCTCAGATGAAGCAGCTTCACCCACCTCTAATCCCCCCACTAGCTCAAGTTTGAACTGAGGTGAGCATAATCAGATTTTGGATCAGACTGAGGTGACGCCTCTTCTGTCAGACAGCTGAGCTGCTTTACCTTTTCCCCTGTCGGGCTCTTGTCTCCTAATGGGCCATTGAGACACCGCTCAGCCTCCTCTCATCTCTTCATCACCCCGTTCATCTTCATCCCTGGCTCATGTAATTCCTCTATTTGTCTTCATCCCTGGGGCCTAGTGACCCTCCTCAAACTGCCATTCCCTGCTTCCCTAACAGCCTGCGAGGGAATTCATCCAATTACAATCAGCAGCGTGCAATTGGCTGATTAGATCATGGTGGGCAGGCTGGCTGTGTAACAATTTAGCAGAGCCAGCTCAAATCAGATTCCCTCTGCACTTCAAAGGCGTGAGACAATCCGTTAGGACAGGGCCACGGGCGCCGAGGGGGTGAAGGAGAAGAAGATGGGGAGAGGAGCAGGGCAGAGAGTGGCCGACAGGGAGGTTTGCTGGAAATTCAATCTAGAATACCATAGCTTTGGAGACGGGTCAGCCGCCTGTCACCATCACCATGCCAACCTGCGCCTCAGCACACCCCGAAGTCACAACCTGCTATGTGGCTATATGACTGCAGTGATACCAAATAGCCTCTTTCCAGCTTTTACAATGGCTTAAATAAGGTTATTATATTTTCAGATGTGTTAAGGATTTCATTTAGCTTATTCTCATGGCCAAGAGCGTCTTTTCTGGGGGGTTTTCCACTGTAGCTGTTGAAATACCCAGCTGTTTTTGCAGCATTTCTGGGTTTTGTCATGGATGCCTTGAGAATTGGAGGACCCCCTTGGGACATGATAAAATGAACAGGCTTGGGGGGAGGGGGGGGACAGTGTTATGAGCTTGTTTTCCTCTAGCAAGTTGGATATGTCATAACTGTTGACTCCACCAGGCTCTGACATGAATCAAGAGAGTAATATTTCACTGGTGACTTGTTGGGTTAATGCCACCCAGCATTTCTCCTGCTATCCCTATCTCTTGTTCACACCGTCTGTGTCTCTATTTCTACCTCCTGCCCGTTATTGCTGTCTTGCTCTCTTTTCTTTCAGTGATATATGGCGAGGCTACTCATCCCCTTCTTCCCCTCGCCCCCGATTCAAATGCCACAGCTCGACCAGCTGCTCTTCCCAACCCTGGAGTAAACTACTTCCAATATAGTGCCACTCACCAATGTCTTTTATCTGTCTACAATAAATAATATGTAAGTCAAGCATGTGAGAAGGGTAACGGCATACATACGAAGCCATCTGGTGGAATCGGATGCAAGGCGGCACTTTGAACCTGACATTCAGCATCTTTGGAGGCCTCACACAGCAGCAGTTAACACTTTAATATACCACGTCACCTTAACATGGGCATATATTTGTGTGAAACGATTCAGTAATTTGTTAAGTCAGTAAGATTTGATTGTTTTTAGTTACTTCAGCCTCCATTCTGCCTCAGCCATCAACATGTAAGCAACACAGCAAAGTGGTGACAGTATACACAAGACTGTATGACACCTATGGCTGTTTACAACGCTTCTCCTCAAACGTACTTTCAACTCATTTTAAGCTTAAAGGTAATTCCACCCCACCCCAACGTGTCAGATTCGGCAACTGCCGCGGCAGTTGGATGCCGATCTGTTTATTGAACATCAGTGGGAAACACTGACCACTGCCGTCTGTCTCAGACAGCAAAACCTCTGCTTTGGATGTGTTTGTCACATAGATTTAACCCCACACAACCTTTCACACACTAAAATAATGCATAAGCCTTAACTGTCTGCCCATAGCCAAGTTATATATTGTTGTTGGATTCTTATAAACTCACTAAGTCTTACTAGTAAATAGATCGATTGTTTTATCTACTCTACACTGTCCTCATTTACCCATTCGCACATTTTTTTCTATGTTCCTATCTTGGATGAATCCACTGGAGGGGCAACTTGGGGTTCAGCATCTTGTACAAAAATACTTTGACTGGAGTAACCAGGGAACCAGTGATTGAACCACCAACCTTTAGGTTAGCAGATGACCTGCTCTATCACAGCCACTGGTAAAGAGGCTGTCCATCCTTGATTTTCTGTCATTTATTTACTTCAGAGTTGGTCCTTTTAAAAGTGTTTTTATTTGATATTATGTGGAGAAGTGAGGCAAATACTAAAGCAACACGGCCAGAGAAACAAATCAAAAGAATGAACAAAGTCAATGTCTGTGTCTCTGGCTCTCTTTCTCTCTTCTCTGTCCCATTTTTATGTCCTCAACTTGGAGTTTCCTCAGAATCACACTACCATCTATTTGTCTGCTTGTATCTTATGCTGACTTTGTTATCATGCTTTATTCCCTAAATCACTCTCAATGTGTGATGGTGGGGGTAATGAGAGTGATTCGTTGTTGT